ATAGGAAGTTCTTAACTATCAGAGCAATAAAAATAGTACTTATGCTTAAATATGGTATCTATGATCATTTCTATTAAAAGTCCCTTCCTTGGAGGCTTCTATGATAAAATTGATCCTATTGAGAAAATCATGTTCAACATTTTAATAAAGTGATTTTTTTCCCAGGATTGTGATCAACATAAACCCAAAGGGGAGTTTTATAACTATAATGTTTAAATATCTAGCATTCTGTTTTTTGCAAACAAATGTAAAATGATTGATAAACTACTAGAAAAATATTCCAACACTGTGAGCTAATGTAGGTAAACTGTCTTCTTCTCTAACAAACAATCCAACAGCAAGTGAAAGTTTAGAGGCACAGTCTAAGGCTATCTTTATTATCTACATTAAAATGTTCAGCCTTTCAAAGAAGCCAGCAGCCAAAACACAACATATCAACCCAAGTTATTAAATTGTGACTTTACTACAAAGTAGGTCTCAGCATTCATAGGATGGGACAATTTTAAAAGTGAGAAAATGTAAAGTATATAACAATTTCTATTAAAGTTCCATAAATATGCTGATTTAGATCACATTAGGACAATGAACACTATTAATATCTTCCTCCCATTATGTAGAATAATTGAAAGTATATTAAAAAAAAGAACCACTTCCAAACCTGCAACTTTATATAAGACAATTTTCATCATTGCTTTCCAGCCTCACTGTTGTTGCAAATGATGCCTTTGAAAAAATTGAGGGTGGGGGGGCGGAATTACTTCCTCAAAATATTTCACTACCCTTTGCCTGTCACTGTCTTAACAGATCAACTTACTATTACCGTGGACACCACCTGCACAACTCAGTGACTACCATTGCTTTGCTTATAGGATTGGAAAACACATCCAGTTTACACTGTTTCTATATTCATCTGTGACAAATGTCCCCTCTGACATTTTCCTAAATGAGAATGAGAATAACCCTCGCTGCTTTCCTAAATTACCCTTGCTCACCATCTTTCTGGTCAAAGAAACTGAATTTATTTTAAATAGGACTTTAAGAAAAACATTACTATAAATCATACACTGCTTCAAGACTACAAATTTTACTCCAAATGAGAATTTAGCCCTATCTTAGGGCAACATTATATGTAACAACATTATAAATGACATTATAGCCACTTGTACAAATACCAGTGTTTCAAAAGGTGATACATTTCTTTTTTTTTTTTTTTTTAAGATTTTATTTATTTATTTGACAGAGAGAGACAGAGCGAGAGAGGGAACACAAGCAGGGGGAGTGGGAGAGGGAGAAGCAGGCTTCCCGCGGAGCAGGGAGCCCGATGCGGGGCTCGATCCCAGAACCCTGGGATCATGACCTGAGCTGAAGGCAGACGCTTAACAACTGAGCCACCCAGGCGCCCCAAAAGGTGATACACTTCTAATATATTTACAATAAAGCTCAAAAAAACATTTATGAAACTTAAATTGCTTGAAATGGGAGTAAGCGGTCATTGATAGTCTCAAAGGAATTAATAGACTCCATAAATGCTGTAACTTTTATCACAGAAAAAGATTCATGTTTCAACAATCACAGTAAAGGTATGCAACCGCAAGAACCTTTATCTATCTAAAAAGAAAACAAATTTTCTTTTTTAAAACCATAAAATGCTGACCTAAATGTCAGCTGAGGAATTCAATAAAGCAAATGAAATCTGGAAGTCAAATGACAAATTTTTTGCAATGTATATCATCCTTCTCACTTGATGATATCAGGTGTCAAAGCAATGTCATGAGAATTAGTTAAAAATATAAAAATGTTTTTCGAAGTACTTTGATTCAAAACTAACTGTTCAGGGTAAATTAGCTGTCAAAATGAGTTGAAACTTTTAAGAGAATGAGCTGGTTACTTATTATATATACCAATAAACAATTTCCAGACTAACATGATAAAAATTCAGTAAATGTGAGGAATAATCTGTGAACTAGTTGTTTTATAAAATCAGACTGTTACTAATACCTCACCCATATTATTCTCTAATCGAACCTCAACATTTTCTGGAGAAAGAAATATATATGAACCACTAATGTCAACCTATAGCATAGCACCAGCAGAGACTCCTTATTAAAACAGTATCAGTACTATTCCTAAGGCAACATCACCAAAGGAAACAAACAACTTAGAGCAAATGTCACAGGTGCAATGTGAAGAAATAGTCTATATATAGTACTAGTTGTCATTCAGACTGAAACACCATTCCTTCCTTCATCCCATTAAAGTACTGGCTTGCAAGCATTTGACATCCAGCCAGAGAAAGAGTAACTTATGTCATCTTTTTAAATAATTAGACATAGAGTCCAATGTGTTCATAAAATAGGTCTGAACTGCAAGTCCTCTTTCTTCTAGAACAGCAGTTTTCTGAACATTAGGTTCCCTTTCCAGAAGTTAGAACAAGCTGTTACTTGACTAGCTAATTATGGCTAGTAGTCAGAAAAGATCACCACAGGCTCCTTCACTGTTCTAGGACCTCAGTCTATAGATTCTGTTTGCACAACAGACCTTGCATCAATATAATGAAGTCATTAACCTCTGTACTCTTTTAAGATGCATAAATTTCAAATCACAGTCATTAAAGCAATATTTATAATAAAAAGTATCAAAAATGTACCCTTACATTTATTAACTGTGGAAAGTTCAAATAACTGAACAATTAAACAGGCATTAAGATGCATAAAGTGTAAGCCTTTTAGAGTTTTAAATATTACAAGGCAACATATATATGTACACATATTCTTTAACTGAAATAAACAAGATATTAAATTGTTTATTAAGTATGCTCTTAAGTATGTGGAATGCATACATGTAAGACTAGATAGGAAACCACTAGAATATTACAGAATGATTTCTTGGATAGGAGATTATAAATGATTTTTTCCTTCTCTTTATCTTTGCTAATTTATATATTAATTATTATTACTTTTTACATTAAAATTACCATATAATTTTAAAAATGTAACAATGTTTAAATATCATCTGCCTATACCTTCTTCCAGGTTTAGAAATACAGTTAGAGTCTCCAAAAAGAGACCAAAATGAAGGTCCTGTATTTGAATAAGAGTGTTGTTATTCAATTCGCCATTCCTCTGGGAAAAAGAATTCCTAGAACTACAGGAGCTGGTTCATAGGGACACTCCAGGCTTCCTGGGCACAACTCTAGGAGGTACAACCACCCACGATCCTCTCCTGCCAGTTTCCTGAGCCATAAAATGAAGATGATAAGTATACTTACCTCAAAGGGTAGTTGCAATATTAAATGATTTCATATATAGAGATATGCTAAATACATATGTGTGTGCATATATATATATGCAAATAAAATGCACATATATTTAGCATATAAAATGGTGACCTGGTAAATAGAAAGCACTATCAAAGCCTTAGCTATTTTTCTATCCTCATTTTATTACTACTACAACGACTACGACTTCTCTTACTACTACTACCACCACCACCGCTAACACCATTACTCTAACTATTGCTACTATAAGAACAACAGACAAACCAGCAATAGAGCCCCTCTTCCTCATGGGGCCATTTTCCAAAGAGAATAATGCCTGCCAATCTGATCTCGGAGAAGGAGAAGGGCAAAAGAGGCATGGGAATTGCACCAGAGCTTGTTCTTCAGTAGATGCCCTGTGCCCCTGGCACTCTTTCACTACATTCTGGCCTCCAGAGGCCATCCCAGTGCCTTCTAGTAGCACACCCAGGCCTGTATAAATTACCTCTCCCTGTCTCACTGACTGACATTTTATAAAAGTTTGTTCATATCTTTAAAATAGATTCTTAACATCTCTCTGACCCATTCAGAATTACTCAAGAATATACCTTAATATTTTTGTGAGAGAGTTAGGTTACAGAAAGGTGGGAGTCATTATGCTTTAATAAGTTTTGTCAATTTAAATATTTATTTAGTAAATTTAAATAAAGATATTTATCCTTTTTTTTTTTTTTTTTTTTAAAGAGAGAGAGTGTGTGTGCATGGGCACAAAAGGCGGAGGGGAGGTGGCAGGGGAGAGGCAGAGAGAGAATCCCAAGCAGGCTCCACACTCAGTGTGGAGCCCAATGTGGGGTTCCATCCCACAACCCTGATCATGACCTGAGCCAATATCGAGAGTCAGAGGCTTAACCGACTGAGCCACCCAGGCGCCCCTTAATCAGTTAAAATTTTAAACACTTTAGTCAAAATAAAAATATTTAATTGTAAACAATAAACAATTGGGGCAAAAAAAAAAAAAAGTTAGTGGCTGAGTTCCCTCTGCTGAGTCAGGGAACTTAAACATAGGCGGCCACATGTGTAACAGGTAAGTCCTAACCCTCTTTGGTCATAGCTGATTGAAACTAACTAACTACACATCTGCCCCAAGCCCAGCCAATCAGATTGTAGCCTGAAGAATCCAAAGAAAAGATATGGGCACTATAGTCAAATGACATCATCATTAGGGACATAAGGTCATAAATCAACAGTCAGCACATACAAACCAAAATCAGAGGAAGAAAGGCATTAATAGCTTTAGAAAGCAGAAGCCAGTCGACCGACAAATGCAAGGATGGGAGACCATATGGTCCTGAGAAGCAGAGAAGTCAACGACAGTCCCTGGCTTTCTATTTCCAGTCCCATGTGGTCTCCATGAACTTTCTTTGCTTCTCTTTAGATGTTTATGAGACTGCCTGTTACAGAGGAAGAGATGAACAAATGTGCCCTAAACTAGCCTGAAATGTATATTCCTATAACAAATGTACATGTCACCAGCCATCTTTTTGTTCTTTTCCTTGGTTAAAGAGATTGGAATAGTGTTTAAACATCAAATAGTCCTTTCTTAAAGACAGATGCCCCAAGACACTACCCTGTTTTGTGTCAGCAGAAGAGGAAACAGGAAAAGAACAATTCTGCAAAAGAACTCAATTCTGCAAAAGGATTTTAAGCTTCATGGATAATCTATTACAGAATATCTATACAATACCTGCTTCTTGGAAGAAACATGGATTCCTTAATGAACACGGAACCAGAGAGAAGTATATACCAGCAGGTCCCAATATCATCAGGACTGGAAAAAAAGATAATAAAATCAGATGATTATCTAAGATAACAACAACAAAATCAAAACACACACAGCACAAAGTATAGTACCCATGTTCCTTTTTAGAACCATGAAGAATGATGAAATAGCATAAAACAAGTACATAAATATACCATTTCATTTTTTAAATTATCTTTTATCCCAAAAATAAGTTAAAGATATTAATCAGTATATTTAAATGTTTTAAATGTTCCTTAGACCTATTGCACCTACCATCCCAAGGTTTAGCTTTTAATTTTTTTGACTGAAAATACTTCCCCTGCTTCATAAAACAAAATATAAAGAGGTAAACAGTGAAACTCAGTCTTCCCAACCTTTTCCCTGGTCTACCAAGCTCCCACATTTTTCTACCACACTTGTTGGATAGTCTTTCAGAATTTCTTTATGTGCATGCACAGAAAAATACACATATATTCTTACTCCCTCTACTGCCTTTTTTTTCTTTTTATGGAAAGATAGCATACTCTATAGTGTTCTTTCCTTTGTGCTCTTAGAGATCTTTTTATAAGAATACAGCTTTCTTGTGGATGTGCCATATCTGCTTTAAGCAACCCCAGTGACAGTCATTTCTGTTATTTTTAATCATTTGCAATTATTTAAAAATAATAAATAAAAAGTGCAATGAGTAACCTTGTGCATACATTATTGACTATAACTGGTAACCAGAAGTGCGACTGTTGGGTCAAAGGGCATGGACACTGTAATTCTGATAATTGTCCTCCACAGGTGCTCAACAACTTATTTGCCTGTATACTTTCACACAGCTTTACTAATATATAATATAGTTCATTATATTAGTTTAACAAATGTTTCACAATTTTATGAGGAGGGCTATTCTAGGTGCTTAGGATATTTCGGGGAACACCACCACCACCACCACCAAGTCTCTTCCCTTATGGAGCTTATAATCTGGTGGGACAATACAGATAATAAACAAGAAAAATAATAAATTGGTAAATTACAAATCAGTGCTCCGGGGAAGAAATTACTATAGGTTAAGGAAAATAGGGGGCAGGGTGTTACAGTTTCAAATGGCTGGGGAAGAAGAGTCTCGCTGAGAAGAGCACATTTGAGCAAAGGAGCTGACAGCCAACTGGGTTCCTAGGGAACCCGCATTCCAGGCAAAGGGCGGGGAGGATCCAGTGTTTGTGCAAAGGCTGACATGGCCTAGCAAGGGGGAAGAGTATGGTGTGGCTGAGGCAGAGTAGGTGAGGGGTACGCCGCTGGGGGGCATAAGGAATTCTACCACTAAGGCTTTTTATCAATCTTTCAGGTTTTTGCCAATCTGCTTGATGAAAATGAGATCTTAGTATATCTTTTTCATTTCTTTTTCTTATTATTATTACAAGAGCATCTTTTTTCTTATTTCCATGAGTCATATTTTTTTCTGTGAAATCAGTTTACTACTTTTAATCAACGTTCTATTAAGCTGTGGGACTTTTTCTAATCTAGAAACACTTTATAAAAATGAACCTTTTTAAAATACGTGCTGTGAATACCTTTTTCCTCAGTTTGTTGCTTTATCCTTTGTGCTTTTTGCCATGTGTAAGTTATTTTATTTTATCCAGTCAAGTTCACCAAATTTATTTGTTAAAATACAGGCTCAGCTACTATTAAAACAAAACAAAAAGCTAAACATAGTAATGGCTTAACCAAGAGGGAGTTCATTTCTCTCACACACACATAATAACAGCCTTAACAACAAAGGCCCAAGGCTGATAGGATGGTTCCATGGTATCGAGAACTCAGGCTCTTCCTATTGTGTGGTTTAGTCATCCCCAACCCACAACAATTATGTCATAGTCTCAGGTGGCAGCTTCATATCTCACCACTGTATTCACATTCTAGCCAGTGGATGCGGTGGAAGGAGTACAGAGCCTACCCCACTGCTGTTAAGAGTACAAGGAAGCTGCATACTACACTTGTCTCACATCACAATGAATCACGTGTGTGTTCCAAGGGAGTCTTCATCAATCCCCCCCACCTCCACCCAAGTTCTCTCCTTTTTGGGGAATGAGCGGGAGGTGTAAATAGATTCCAAAAGTTTTTAAAGGACAATAAATTCTATTTATGATTCTGAATAGTTATTTAAAACACCAATCACTATCACGTAATCATTTTCATTTTGCTATTTGCTTCTAAACAAATCAGCAGTTGACCATTGTTTCCTCCCAAGTCCAGTCTTAACTAATATCACAACTACTAAGTCCTCGATGGCAAGGCCTCATTAAAATGTAAAGGAACAATACTGACAAATAGAGTTTAGCTCCAAGGAAACCATAAAAGTTAAATGATTTCTCAAATGAAAATGTACAGTACTTCAGAAATAATTCATATCCTTTTCTCTCCAGATTTTAATCATTAGCTTTTGCAATCTACATTTACCTAATTTTGAGGGAAAAACTTTGTCTTTCTTAGCATAAGGTGACAGAATTATTATTAAATTCTAATTTATGTCAAGTGAAAGTGTGTTCTCCCAAATGCAAGCATGCTTAAAATTTTTTTTAATAACAAATAATAAAACACTGAAATAAAAAGGAAAAAAAAGAATTATTATGTAAACTTAATCTGCTCTTACAATGCTCCCTTTATCACCAAAAGGCTGGTCAAGAGAAATGAAATCTAGAAAAACAGGAAGTTAAGGTAGATCACTGCTTATTAATTATGTGGCCTTGGGCAAGTTATTAGAGCGAATACCAGGATTAAATGAACAATGCTCATTAAATGCAAATAATTATTGTAGAGCTTTTTATCATGTACCATGATCTAGATTAACTGAGACATAGAGAATATAACAAACATTCGTTGGCTTTCTAGTTATTCTGTATCTGTCCATTTTGAAGGCAAATTATTATGGATAAAATAAGTGCAAGGTTTGTAAACTTGGCTTTCCTGGCACTGATCATAAAGCACACATGAAATGAAAGGCGACCAATGTCCAAAGTGGATAAAGGACTATAACAGCAAATATTCTGGCTCCCTGAACGCCCATTCATTACCCTATAATTAGGGTTGGTTCTTCTAGAAAAAACCGAAGGAGATAAAGATAAGAAACTTGTCCACCCAACCTTTTCCACTTACTATAATTTTGTTTTCCTAATAGATGGGCTGTTTCCTCTAACTTTTCCAAAAAATTCAAAGGTTAACTCACGAGAGCTATATTTGCTTGAGTAGGAATTGGCAGAGGATGATCATTCGATTAACAAACATTTATTGAACTTGGTAAGCATTTACACTACATGCCATGCCAAATACAATCACTCCAATTTCTTTATTATTGAGTTGTCCCTTTTTTACAGATGCAGGTTTTATAAAAGTAAGCTCATTAGAACTAAGAAAACAAAAACAGTGAATCTTATTTTATCGTGTTCTGGAAATAGCTGTAAGCTAGAAAATCCCTCCCATCTCCTTCTCTTCCCATCCATCCCCCCACAGAACTCATGTGGGTTTGTGTTCCAAAAATTCCTTGCTGTGAGATGCCACCATAAAATCTGTTTTACTCAGTCTTAATCATCCAGAAAATTCTCCTGACTTTGTTAGAAATCATCTACAATTATGCCTCAGGCAGGCAGTGTTTCAGTATGGGGTACATCCTGCTTCCCTTCAAAGTCTGCAAATACTCCTTTCCCACAGTGCAGCTGTCGTTACCCAAGAGGTTTTAGACCGTTTTTGCACATACAAAGTGATGATGTTTTTTCAAAAGAAAAAATGAGTAAGTCCTAAGAATGGTACTTAACAGAAACAGCATTAAACTTTTCTACACTTAAAGGGTAAGCAAATTGAATCCAGGACATCGCTTACAGACACATTGGCAACGAAGTTAGCTAACAGAAGATTGACTATAATAATAATAGTTATCTGGGACTAACGCTGGGATTTTTTTCAGTCCAGTGGTTCTCAGGCTTTCATATGCATATGAATCACCTGGGATATTAATGAAGAATGCATGCTCCCAGGCTCTGCCTATTCCACCCGATCCCACAGTCCGTGATCGTTAGGTGGGAGATCCATCACAGTGACTTTCAAACAAATATCCCAGGTGATTCTTATGCCTGGGGCTTGTCAACTTTGAAAAACCTTTAGAAAAGCTGTCTCAATATTAAGCCCCAACAACAACAAATGGCAAGAAAAAAAAGTACAACTCTTATCAATATTTGTGCCAATACGTTGCAGGTGTTGTATTCACCAGTGTTATTTTAATTTTTTCCTCAAATAATTGTTTTATGCTTTAAAAATATGAGCTAAAGGCCAAAATTATGAGCTAAGGGGAAAAGCTGAATCTTAGAATAAACCTGATTGAACATCTCCAAATAACCTAAGTCTTAACACCACCAGCAATGGGTAGAAGAGAGAAACCTAAAGATTAAAGAGGGACATATAGCAAAGTAGTACACATTGCAAGTCTCTCTGATTAGCCAAAATGGACACTTAGAAAAGACCTATAAATTTTTATACTGAACTAACAACTACAACAGACAACTGATTTGATGCCAATACAGCCCATTCTGCAATCTGCAAAATGAAAGCCACAAAAGCCTAGATGTATAAGACACCCTGAAAGCCTATTTTTTTTATTTCATCAACAGGGAGAAAATGAATAAACCCAAACAAAACAAAACAAAAACAAAATATAAACAGACCATTACAAAATGATCACTTCACTCCCAGTATAATTAGATAGAAGGACTCTGAAGTAATCAGAAATGAATGATGCCCTTTAAGAACCAAGGCTAAACTGAAATGGCAAGTGCAGACCTGGAATAATGGGGAAGAGGCAAACATGGAATCTGGTGCCATTCTTTCCCAACCTTATTTCCTTCTACTCCTCATCATAAACCCACCACTGCTGACGGGCTGCTTTCCTATCTTTCTTTCCCACCTCTGTCAATCTGTCCAAGATGTTTGCCTTTCTCCATCTTCTCAATCATATCGTACCTGAAAGAAATGGTTCAAACCCTATTTCTTTA